GTAAGTCCCCCCTGACCCTTCCCTTCCTGTGCTGCCCCAAAATAAGTACGGTTAAGCAGGTGTCTGACCAAGACAGGTAAAGGTCTATGGAATAAGAAATTGGGAGAAGGGGGTTTCTTCTGCCATGGGTGCTGACTCCTGCAGTGGATATCTAAGCGTTACGTTCGTAGCACTCTGACTCTCTACCTAGAGGACAACATACTTTTACTCTGGCAGACTTTATCCTGATAGGTGTCTTTGTTCTGAGGAATATTTTACATATTATGCAAACTTTTATTTCTGTGTTTTACATGGAAAAAAAAAATGCACATTAAGATTTACTTACATTGTAGTGCACCTGTTTAAATAAGAGAACGTGGAGTTCATTCTGTGCCAGTTACTCTTTATATTCCTATCTCTTTTTCAGTTATTTCTGTTTTGATCTTCTGTAAGTTTTTATTAATTGCGGGGCTTTTAGTTGGAATTTAAGTACCTTATATTTTTGTACCTCAAACTTTTTTTTTGAATTATCATCTTTGCTTCACAGCTGTTCCTTCTTGCTCCTTCGATTATTGAATAGAATGTAAAATAAACTCATAGAATGTAATTCAGAATAGTCAAAATATTGAATTTCTGTAAAAAAATGCAGAACTCGAATTCATATATATAATGGGCTTCAATACATAAAAAGAAAATGATTAAACCATATCTCACTTATCATAGATCTTTTTAATAGGAGCAAAATCTGTGCCATTAGTTCCAGACCAACGTATTTCCCATTCACAATGCTTTAGTGCATAACTTATAAATCTGTCCTCACCATCCTATATTACTTTTTCAAAGTAAGACTGACATCAAGCAAGACAGGATGAATGAAAGTCAATGAAGGTCGACTAGACAATCCAATTATTAAAGATTCTTGGAAGAACAGTACTGTGATCTATAAAATAATTGGGTGTGAATTTCTGTATCTTTGTTGACAAGAGTCGTTTCTGTAGAACTGCAGTATATTTTCTATGGTAATGTCTTTGTGGTTTACGCTAGTCTAATGTGTTTGTATAGTAGGTCTGAATGTCATTGTTTATACTCTGAAATATTTGTTGGTTTGCAGAAGCCATATTTAGAATACAAATTTCATGTACCTGTTCTATCTTCGGAGTGGTGAAGAGGCCTTTGAGGAAAATGCAACATACAATTACATATTGCATTATGAAGAGACAGTATTAGGATTGCATGATCATTACATAGAGAATCATAGAATGGTTTTAGGTTGGAAGGAACCTTGAAGACCATCTAGTTCCAACCTTTCTGCCATGGACAGGGATACCTTCCACTAGACCAGGTTGCTCAAAGCATCGTTCAACCTGGCCTTGAACACTTCTAGGCATGGTCCTCCTCCACAGTGGCCCCTGAGCAACCTCCACTTCCCTGAGCAACCTGTTCCAGTGCCTCACCACCCTCAGAGTGAAATTTTTTTTCCTCATAACTGTTCTAAATCGACCCTCTTCAACATATGCTATTGCTAATTTTCCCTGCATTTTTTTTTCATCAGTCAGTTATCTTTTCATTCATTCTGCAGAACAGGCCATCTCTTGGGACTATAAAACACATCCATACAGTAAAAGAGGTTACTATTTCTGGCACCTACTTATAGTAGAAATAGTGAGCTGGCCTGCATGTTTGAGTTTAAATATAAAAGTTCAAGTATGTGTATAAGCTATCTATACTAGACACTGCAGATGATAAAATAGTAGACAGTAATTAAGTAGAAGAATAGTTTTCAGTCCGAGAAACTTACTTGAGCTTTAAATTTAGCTTATTTTTTTTCTATTTCAGATGTGCCTGAAACCTACCTACTTTTTTTCTCCTTTATACAAATAGGTCTAATGGAAAATAATACATCTGCATTCAAACCTTGTTCTATTATGTTTTTGCACCATGTATGAATGAGGACAGATAGGGTTCAGTTATTGATTATTCTAACTGAATTCTAGGTAATTGTACTTGACTGTATGCTACACATATGTTTATAAATAAATTCCAAACTGCTACATGTTCTTACTCTCCCTGACCCCTGCAAGGAGAACAAAAATACCTAATATAAATTTTACTTTTTACCCTTTCATTAGATATTTAGTTTACAGGTGTTTTGATCTGATGTTTCTATATATAGTATTCCTTTTATGAGACGACATTCTTCTGAAATTGCAAGTGTATATGTATAGATAGAAACATATGTTTTCCTTCCCAACTAATACAGTCGCAGGATAATGTGATTGTGTGTTAAGAGTAGCTAACCAAACAGAATATCAAGTGGCCTTCATTGGCTTTCAAGTGGCTGTCTGGGTGGGCGTCACATTATTAAAATATCAATTGCTATAAGTGACGTAGGGTCTGAAAAAGAAGTAATATGTTCCTAGACACTGGTATAGTAAAGGATGCTAACTGTGAGATTACAGTGCTGATCGAGAAAATTTTTACAATGTTTCCCAATAAAACTTGAAGTCAGCTTCTGCAGGTGGTGGAGTTTTGTTGGCTGGCAGCAAAGAATGGGATCTGTTACTGGATTAATGACAGCAACAGGTTCAATATGCTGCTCTTTTATTTGTAAGTCAAGATTTAAGAACAGCAGTTGCTGTTTGCAGTAGCAAAATGCCTGCCTAAGGTGGTGATTTCTACCACAGTGATGGTAAAGCATAATCAGATAATGTCACACTACAGATAATAATTTTTCTAAACCTGTAAAATCAGAAGGCTTGCATGGTATGCAGAGGTAATGATGAATCTTTTTCTGACTAGATAGATACTGCATATCTAATGAACACTGAAAAGATTCACTGCTAATCTGTAAACTATTTAATATATATAGTTATAATCTACTGTGATTAACTTTTACCAGAACTTTTTTTTCACAAATGTTGTTTAGAACGCAGAAAATTCCATAGTATGAACAGATGAAAATGACATAGTAATTTTATTATTTGCATTCAAAACATTATTTTTTTAAAAGTCTTCATGCACCCAAATTTCAGCTGTATATAAGAAATTATTTGTATTTAAAGTTTTAAACTCTGTGATGAATTTGTGATGTTAGGCATCTATGCTATTGATTTTCCATTACTACATCTTCTTGCTAGCTAGGGCAAACCTGTCTGCAGCAGAGAGTCATACTCTAATCCTCTGTAGAGGGAGGAGGGTAAGATTTTAACAGGGTCCTTCTCTCAGATCTGTAGCTGAAACAGAGGGTTTAGTTTGTCTTCTACAGAGAAGATAAACTTTTTTTTCCCCCTACTGTGGTGCTGATAGAATACTAAATAGTGCAGATCTTGTAAGTTTTTGGTTTCTGATAATATTTGTCAAAGGTTTTTATTAGTCAATATCTTAAAATTCTCAAGTGCTTGGTGTGGCAGTCCTCAGCTGAAATGACTGTGCAAAAATGAAAATGTAAGATTGTGTCAGATCAAAATCGAAGAAATTCCTTATTACACGGGTTTTTTTTGTTCAAGCAGGCAGACCTGAGGCATTGGTCTGTGCAGATATGACATGATTGCTACCCAATTTGTGATTGAATCTGTTTAGCTGACCCTTTTCCCCTTCCTTTTGGCCTTTGTTCAGTTTCTTTGGCTTCTAAATACACAATCCCGAAAGGCTTGCCTTTTATTTGGCAGATATGCAACAACAAAAATCTTTGCTCACTGGGAAATCATTGTTTTGAGAAAACTGCATTAGACCTATATCCATATTCAGTAACCCCAAACCCATACAGTTTACATGTGGTGTTGCACCTATAATCTTGTTGGTCTCCCTTACCTCTGGGCTGTCTTTTCAGAAACTGTTTTGCCAGAGTCTTCATCAAGGTCACCATATGCTGCCAGTGTGCAGTTAGTCAGCCAAGTTGGAACTGTGGATAAAGGTGATCCACAGCACACAAAGAGTAATGTTCCTATGTATGTATTCACCTGAGGCTCGGTTGTGAACTACATATTTCAAAACTTGTTTGGCTTCTGAGTTCTGTGATAACAGGAAAACATCCTTACACACCTAGAATGTCCTGGGCACTCAGGATTTATGATTCCATACAAAGTGAAACATTCCTGAGCAGGTTGGCTGGAAAATAAAGGTTTTGTCCCGAGATCAATATAGAGTTTTGCATTACTGTCATTTGCACTGTGAATATATACTTCTCAGGAAAAAAGACATGTTTAAGTGAAGGTATGCAGGTGTCTTAAGTGTACCCATGTCAATATTATATTCTTCACAAAGTTCACATAACATTGTCCTTTTGAATATTTAGTCTACCTACAAAGCATTACATTTATGCAATTGATTGTGTTTCATAGTTATTGAATTTTATTAGACAGATTAATTATAAAGAAAAAAACAGTTGTAGAAACAAGTAAATCACAATAATAAACTAGGTAACATTTCCATTCAACTGATAACTGACACAATCGTATATTACCATGAGATACAAGTCTGATGTGGGAAACAGCTGTAATATTAAGTTAAAATCATCAATTGCTTTGTTTTAGTAAAAATGTTTAGAAAAGGTATATAACCATAGGATATCAGACAATTCAAATTCTGTGCAGAATCAAAGATGGGTATAGCATGAGTCTGCAGGATGGCAATAACATAAATGTTTTAGTATTTTCATGTTTGTATATAGTTTATGAGAATAGTGGGTAGAATGGTGTGTTGGGTAATTTGCAGATAAACAGGATGACAATAATATTAGTGACAGTGACGATCATTCTCTCTTTTCTCTGTTTCTTCTCTTTGTCCAAGAAGATGACCCCCTCTGCCAAAGATGATCTTTTTTCTTCCTTTTCATGCACATATATGGTTGTGTATGCATACCTGATGTTTTCTCTCAAACTCTTGAAATAAATGGTAGTAGTGATAATGATAATAAAAGTATTAATGAGCAGCTTGCCAATGTTACAGAGAAACTGGTTAGAGTGTATTAAGTACGTGCTGTTACCACCTATTCAACTATTACCTGTGTATCTTTTCTGTAGGTGACAGATCAGTCAGTGAAAGCTTTTGCTGAACATTGTCCTGAGCTGCAGTATGTTGGTTTTATGGGCTGCTCTGTTACATCGAAAGGAGTCATTCACCTTACTAATGTAAGTATCATAATTACTTTTAGCTAGTCATTAGTGTGTTTGGCTATTGCCAAACCACAGGTATCAGCCAGGATAAGTTTATATGTATGATGGATAACACTGTCATAGATAGAAACGTGACAAGATAAATGAACTTTGCGTTATTTGAGTAGATAGATTCAGATTTTCCTGTGTAAAAACACTGTAGCAAAAACATATTCAAGGGATGATAATTTTTCTCGGAAATAATAATACTGTTGAGATCGAAAGTCTTTAAAATGCCTAATTACACTAGATTCCATTGCAAACGAAACAAAATACCATAAGTGGAAGTGCAAAATTCTTAGTGCAAGAGATTTAGACGGACCCTTCACTGCAACAGTATATCCCCTATGCACATACATTTTGTATATATCCATCTTAGTGTTTTAACATAGATAGTGGGACAGATACCTTTTATTTCCTTTCGTTTTTCTTTTTTTTAAGAGGGGTAATGTGTGGGAAAACTAACTTGAGTGAACCTGCAGGAAATAATGGAAGCGTTCAATAAAACAAATGACTTGGGTGAGGTGGACAAACAGCATATTAACTAAAGTTCATAATTGAATGTAAATTCGGGGATCATGCAAATATCAGGAAGAACAGAGGAAAAATGCATCTGGAATAGATAAATCAGTATTTATAGCTAAGAATTTTAAAAAATAGTTCAAATGGGAAAATGGAACTTATAATAACTGGTAAAGATAACTGTAGAAATGGGTATTAAGTATGAAAAGTTCTGGTAAACATAAAAATGGTTAAAGAGATTTTGAAGTAGCAAGTGGAGAGCAGATTTAATGGAAACTGAATATACCTGAGGAAAATATAGTTCTTTTGTGCAGCCGTCTTGTTGTACAGAACATATCTGTAAAATATTTTCATCAGTTTAGGGCAAATCAGTAGCTGAAGATACAGAAGAATTGAAAACATTTTGGAACATGTGCAAAAATAAATAAGCCAGAGAAATTAATATCCGTGGTGAAGTTATAGCACCTCAAAGGATACAATTTGGAAAGGACTCTGTGTATTATAGAACCATAGAATGGTTAGAAGGGACCCTAAAAATCATCTCGTTCTGACCCCACTGCCATGGGCAGGGACACTTCCCACTAAACTAGGTTACTCAAAGCCCCATCCAGCCTGGCCTTGAACACCTCCAGGGATGGGGCATCCACAACTTCCCTTGACAATTTGTTCCAGTGTCTCACCACCCTCAGAGTAAAGAATTTCTTCCTCATTTCTAATCTAAATTTACCCTCTTTCAGTTTAAAACCATTACCCCTCATCCTATTACTACACTCCCTGATAAAGAGCCCCCCGCATCTTTCCTGTAGGCCCCCTTTAGGTACTGGAAGGCTGCTATAAGGTTTCCCTGGAGCCTCCTCTTCTACAGGCTGAACAGCCCCAACTCTTTCAGCCTGTCTTCATAGGAGTGATGCTCCAGCCCTCTGATCATCTTCATGGCCCTCCTCTGGACTCACTCCAAGAGCAGAGGGGCAGAATCACCTTGCTTGACCTACTGGCCTTGCTTCTTTTGATGCAGCCCAGGATGCGGTTGGCTTTCTGAGCTGCAAGCGTGCGTTGCCAGGTCATGTTGAGCTTCTCATTCACCAACACCCCCAAGTCCTTCTCGGCAGGGCTGCTCTCAATCCGTTCTCCACCCAACCTGTACTTGTGCTTGGGATTGCCCTGATGCCTGTGCAGGGCTTTGCACTTGGCCTTGTTGAACTTCATGAGGTGTGCACAGGCCCACATCCCAAGCTCATCAAAGTCCCTCTGGATGACATCCCTTCCCTCCAGCCTGTCGACTGCACCATGCAGCTTGGTGTCATCAGTAAACTTGCTGAGGGTACACTCAATCCCAACATCCATGTTGCCAGCAAAGATGTTAAACAGCACCAGTACCAATACTGACCCCTGAGGAACGCCACTCGTCACTGGTCTTCACTTGGACATTGATCCATTGACTACAACTCTTTCAGTGCAGCCATCCAGCTGGTTCCTTATTCACCAAGTGGTCCATCCATCACATCTATGTCTCTCCAATTCAGAGACCAGGATGTCTTGTGGGACAGTGTCAAATACTTTGCACAGGTCCAGGTAGATGATGTCAGCTGCTCTCCCCTTATCCACCTTATCCTCTTATCTGTAACGCTGTTGTAGAAGGCCACCAAATTTGTAAGGCACAATTTACCCTTAGTGAATCCGTGTTGGCTACTTCTGATCATCTCCTTATTTTCCATGTGCCTTTGCGTGGTTTGCAGGAGGATTTGCTCCATGATCTTGACGTGCACAGAGGTGAGACTGACTGGCCTGTAGTTCCCCAGGTCTTTCTTTTTTCCCTTTTAAAAAATGGTGGTTATGTTTCCCCTTTACCAGTCAGTGGGAACTTCACTGGACTGCCACGATTTCTCAAATATGATGGATAGCAGCTTAGCAACTTCTTCCTCTGGTTCCCTCAGGACCTGTGGATGTGTCTCATCAGGTCCCATAGACTTTTGCACCTTCACATCCTTAGATGGTCTCAACCTTGGTCTTCTCCTGCAGCGAGTGGTTCCTCATCCTCCCGGTCCCTGCCTTTACCTTCTGCAACTTGTGTGGTGTGACTAGAGGCCTTGCGGGTAAAGATCGAGGCAAAAAGTCATTGCGCACCTCAGCCTTCTCCATATCCTGGGTAACCAGGTCTCCTGTTTCCTTTTGGAGAGGGCCCACGTTTTCCCTAGTCTTCCTTTTATCACTGATGTCTTGTTGCCCCTGAGGTCCTTGGCCAGAGTTACCTCTATCGGGGCTTTAGCTTTCCTAACTTGATCACTGGCTGCTTGGACAATTTCTCTGTATTTCTCCCAGGCTACCTGTCCTTGTTTCCACCCTCTGTAGGCTTCCTTTCTGTATGAGATTGTCCAGGAGCTCCTTGTTCATCCATGCAAGCCTCCTGCATGAGATGAATGTTGAAATGGTGTGTAAAAGGGGGATATATCTTTGGGAGAGAGAAATAATACAATAATTTTCATGTCATATGAAAACTATATATGTATTACTACAGGTTGTATTTATATACACAACATAAATATAGGAGGTACATAATTTAGAAATCTGACGTAGACATGTTATGTAGTCCAAGGTGTTGTGGGAAATTCCCACACTGGTTGCTTTTCAGGTGCATGCTTTGGTTACTGCATTTTTCTGGCCTAGATTTATTGAGTATTTAATAGATGTCTTATCCTTCAACCAAGTGACTTTATAATCCCATTAATTTTATTCAAGAGAAGTGAAGATCTTGATTTTTCTTATTAACATTTAGTTCTGATTTTCATGTGGTTTAATAATAATAGATTAGACATCCTGATTTACACAGGAGTGGCGCTGTTGTACATAGTCCTTCAGAAAATATCTAGGAGGCTGCTTTGTTACAAACTTGGAAAAGTCATATGGGATAAGTAACTGGTGTATGCACTTTTTGTTGGGACTTGAGACTTGGGGATTCCAGTTTCCTTCCCTCAAGCTGTATCTATAAAAACTTTCTATAGGCTATTAATGCTGCAAAGACAGTGATGTGATAACACTCAACATTAAGGATTGTTCAGCCTAGTGAAGAGAAGGCTCCAGGGAGACCTTATTGTGTGTCCTTTCAGTACTTAAAGAGAGCTTACAGGAAAGATGGGAAAAGACATTTTAGCAGGGACTGTTGCAATAGGACAAGGGGTAATGGTTTTAAACAGAAAGATTCAGACTAGATATAAGGAAAAAACTTTTTACGATGGAGGTGGTGAGACAATGGAACAGGTTGCCCAGAGAGGCAGTAGATGTCCCCATCCCTGGAAACATTCAAGGTCAGGTTGGATGGGGTTCTAAGCAACCTGATTTAGTTGGAGATGTCCCTGCTTGTTGCAGGGGAGATTGGACTAGATGACCTTTAAAGGTCTTTTCCAAGCCAAATTGTTCTATGATTTTCTATGATTCTATGATATGATGTTTTCTGCAAAGTTTGCTAAGTATTCCTTCACATATGAGTGACTTTCTGTGCACAATAACACGGTATTTTTTTTACTTTTTTTGCTACTTTAAGCTGAGGTACATATGCACGTAACAGCCAACTGGGATGATGCCACATATTGAGGGGAAAAAGAGCAAGTAGGAGATTTTCTCAGTCATAGAGTGACTGGGAAATTGTTGGAATTCACGCTTCTTTACTCAAGCTGTTAAGAAGTGATACCTGGTTAATCTTGCTGCAGTGGCTTCAGCCAGTTTCCACCTGGCTCCTCTGGCAGATGTTACTTCTTCGTAGTACAGCAGGCCATTTTAACTATAACTCTGAATTGCACTGAAGCATCCAGCACAGACACATGATCCATTTCTACATTTTTTTTGAGGAAATAAGCTCCAGGCAGGGAATTAAAACAAATATCTGGGGAGTAGCAACATGATCTTTAACTGCTGCATCTCTCTTTTACAGAATTCATCTGTTGATGACATCATTTTTTTTGTTCTAACCATGATGTATTTCTTATGGTCAGGTTTGTGTCAAGTTCTTAATCAGTACTTCATAAGTGCTCACTAATAAATCCAGTCCTATGTTCTGAGAGAATGTGGAATCTGTTCTTTGCTCTACATGGCCTGTGAGACTCCCGCAAGGATGTGCAGAACTAGTTCCTTTCTGTCCTTCTGCTTCCTGTGTGCAAACTGGAGATAACAGCACTGGCCTCTGTTGTAAAATTGCTTTGAGGCTGATGGATGTATAAAAATTGAGAGGTTTATTATTACTGTATTTTCCCCCTAGCAATGTTAGCTTTCTTTAAAATTACTGCCACTTGAAAATTCTGGATTACAGTGCTGCTGAATCGCAGAGCTTTTTTAATAGCTAATTGTGGGGTATGGTAGTGAGAATGTTGTATATTTTTGAAAAAGAAGACATATTCAGAGTTTATTTTCATTATTTTTCTACTGAACGTAGTGACGTTCAAAAAATTTTGCTTCTTGAGCAA